TACTGAGATCATTGAAATAGGTGTCCATCCCTCTAGTGCCCTTTGTTAATAAATCTTTGTTAGTGTCCCCAAGAATCTCTAAAGTGAGCCCAAGTGAGCCATAATGAAACACCTGCTAGGAGGCATTATAGTCCTGGATGAGAGCTCCCTTTAGTTTTCCAAATCCTTCAAAATTAGATCATTCTAATATATATCTAATATACATGTCTGTCCAGCTCTTTTGGGTTACTTTGAACATGTTTTAATATCAGTCCACATTTTTTCTAATCTTTTCTTCTAATTCCACCTAAGTGATTCATTAAGAGCAAATGCCTATAATCCCAGATCTATGGTAGGTGGTAAAGGTCTAAGGTTGTTTAGGCAAAAACAAACAAACATACATGAGAGCCTATCTGAAAAATACTAAAAATCAAGAAGAATGGGGGTGTGGTTCAAGTGATAAAAGCAAGTGCAAGGCCTTAAGTTCAAGCCCCAACACAGAAGAAAGATTGGATCATATTTAGTATATATTCATATATATAAATATACATTAGTATATCTCTAATATGAAAAATATTAACTATGAAGCCCTGCAGTCAGCATAGACTACCCCAAGTGTCAATAACAGCTTCACTTCAGGTGAATCTTTCTCTCTCACTTAATAATCCAGTCACACTCACCTACTTATTTTTTTCCTGAGTGCAAATGACATTTTACAAGTCCAGGTTTAAGTACGTGTTATTCTCCTTGCCTGGAAGGCTTTTCAATTACTCACTGAGATGTTCTCAATAACTTTCCAAATTCAACTTTGGTAGTAATTCCTCTGTGATATCCTTTGTCACCTATTCACAGACTACCACAACTCACAAGTACTTCTTTCATTGAGCTATCGTTTCTAGGTTAGAATGAAAAGACGTTCAAGGAAGAGTTTACATCTTCATTTTTTTTCTGATCCCTAACATCTAACAAGGTAACTTAAAATCAATGCTAGTTAATCAAATGATTCAAAATCAGAAACAAAGCAGGAGGAATGTGATCTTCATATATTTGCTTTCTTGAATCATTTTTTCCATTTATTTCCCTTTGAAAAGAAGTAGGAATGTTAAAAATGTTGATTTTCAATGTTTAGTTCAGCTAAGCAAAAGCATCATCTTAGTACAACAGCTCCTGTGACCCTCACTGGCTTCCCTTGGGGCTTCATACATCATGAATGGGGCCTCAGGACTAACATTTGTGGTTCCACTTCATGTATTTCCTCAACACCAATGCTTTCAAGTGAATTTGACTTACTTCACGCTCTTCTACATCGGATAGGCTTTCAGTTTGTTATGCCAAGGGGCACCCAGTGGCAGTATGCCATTGCTAGAAAATCTCAATGCATTTAGTTTTTTACAAAACTAATGAATTCTCATGCCTCTTATTAGCTTGTCTATTGTAGAGCCATAGCATACTCATTTCTCTGCCTAGACAAACCAGGCATTCTCTGACTCTTCAATTTTGTAAGCAAACATAACAATATACAGGTAATTATAAGGTTCCATCTCTCAGGCTCAGGTCTAGTTTACTCTCTGTCACTCCAGTTAAGTGATTGGAACCTTTCTGATTCTCCTTTGAGAGCCTGCCCATATTTCAGATTCCTGCTCTTCTTCTGTTCTTCTAGTATAGTGTGGAGCTTCCCAGTTTCCAGTTTAATCGCTTCCTATTATTTCTCTTCATATTTGCCTGGAATCATTTATTCCTCATTCTAGTAACACTTTGAATTTAGTCTTCCCAGGTCTGTACTCACTCTAACATTAACAGATATTTACATGCTTTATTAACAAGATCTACTAAAAGAAAAAATATATGTACATATAAAGAGATGAAAAGACACATATATACCTATATATATATACTGACAGTATGCATATTATATACAGAGTATTATATACAGAGTATAAATAGATATACATATAAATTAATTAATGTATAATAATGTATATACATACAATCAGTATATATGCTTATCCATTATATAGGATGGATACACATATATTGATAATATATGTATAATATATATTGATAGCATATATGTATCCATAGTATATGTTCATTTATTCATCATATATACTGAGAGTATATACATTAATAGTATATATGATATACTGACATATATATTTGACATATACTGATATTATATATGAATCCATTATATATAATGTACACTCATAAGTTAGCAATTTTAATATACTCAGTACAGTTCTGTGATAGCCATTATGTAACTTAAAAATGATTGTACCAATGAACATCAGGGTTCAGCAATGCTATAGTTGAAAAAGTTAATACGTATGATTGATTTCAATCTCCTTCAGTTGGGTACAAGAAAAGAAAGGCTAGCTGCACATGATGGCTCAAACCTGTACTCCTACATACTTGGGACATGAAGATCAGTCAATTATGGTTTGAAGACTACCTGGAAAAGAACTCCATTAGATTCCATCTCAAGCAATGGCTGGATTTTGGTGAAATGTATTTGTTATCGTAGCTGCTAGAGAAATACAATGGCTGGGTACAATGTGTTGGAGTTTGTTGTACTTTTTAAAAATCTTGACAGCAGTTCAAATTTGTGACTTTCTCTGAATGAGGACATATTTAATAAGTGATGTTATTTGTGATATTAATCAACAATAGCCATGATTAAATCTGATACTTAATGTAGTTAATGACAAATTGTATACAATAAAACTGGTGGCATGTTTATCATTTTTCTTTTTCTTTGTCGATCATAGGGCTTGAACTCAGGGCCTAGATGCTGTCCTTGCATTCTTCAGCTCAAGGCAAGCACTCTACCACTTGAGCCACTTACAGTTTTCTAGTGGTTTATTGGAGATATGAATCTCACAGTGAAAATCGGTTATACCGTGGGGTAGAGGCATACAAAGCAACAAAAAATCACGTGGTATCTTATAAATAGGTTAGAAGCAATAGCAAGAAAGAAAAAAACCACTTGCGTCCTTATCTTGGGGTTCATTTCCCTATCATCAACTTATCTGACCTTTTCTGCTTGTCTCAAACATACACTAGTTACTGCAAATAAGGGAAATCATGGGACCTATGTTTCTTTGGGCCTGGATTACTTCACTTAATATAATTTTTTCCAAGTCTTCCCATTTCCTAACAAATGGGGCAATATCATTCTTTCTGATAGAGGCATAGAATTCCATTGTGTATATATACCACGTTTTCTTGATCCATTCATCTACTGAGGGGCATCTGGGTTGGTTCCATATCTTAGCTATGGTAAATAATGCTGCAATAAACATAGTTGTGCTGGTAGCTTTAATATGGTCTTGTTTGTGATCATTTGGGTAAATGCCAAAAAGTGGGAATGCTGGGTCATAGGGAAGCTCTATGTGGAGTCTTTTGAGGAACATCCATACTACTTTCCATGGTATAATTTTGGGAGGGGAAGGGAAAAAACAAATTGTTTGAACAGGGATACAGGTTGACCCATTGCAACAATGAGATGTACAAGACGCTGTGTCGAAAATGAACTTTACAATTTAGTCAGGAGGTGGGAGGTGAGGGGAGTGTAGTTGTGGAGATGGGAGGGAAGAGATAGTAGGGGAAAAACAAAGGAGGAGACAACAATGCTTGATAAGAAATGTACTCATTACCTTGCTCATGTAACTGTAACCCCCCCCCCATACAGCATTTTACAATAAAAAAAAAACATTAAAAAAAAAAGAGTCTCACAGACTTTCCTGCCCAGGCTGGCTTTGAACTGAGATCCTCAGATCTCAGCCTCCTAAATAGCTAGGGTTACAGATGTGAGCCACCGGCTCCTGGCTACTATATACTTTAAACCATCAGAGTCTTACTTGGAAAACAAGCAACCTGCAAATGGAATTGTACAGAGTTACCTAAGTTCTGATCTCCCCAATTTTAGAGGATCCCATATTTAATACAACTTGGTTTCACAGGTATTATGAAACTTTCCTTCAATCCAAAGACAAATACATCAAAATTAGTAATTCACGTTAATTTTATCAGCCTGAGTATTTACATAACATACTAGGGAAAAAAGTAAAATTCCCCATTCCCAAATAGAGTCAATGGGAGCATGTTTATTTCTTGTTTGAAAAGCAGTACAATTAGATCCGACAAGTTACTGATTACAGTTGGGTCAGTGGGATATTGTCCCTGGAGTTGCAAACTTTGTAATACTGCACAAATAGATGTGAAACTTTAATGGGTAGCATTAGTTGGCAATCTTTCAAAATCAACCAATAGCTTAAATTGCCTTCCAATACCAACAGCTGGTCTTTTAGAGGGTGTTTTTGTGGTATAGTCACCAGGACAACTCTGGCACTATGAAAGATATATCTACCTTGTGTTACCTAACGTGAGCACATCCTTCTCCATCACCCTGGGTGTGAAAAGAGAAACTCTTGCTTATTTCCTAATGTTCAAAGTTCAGTTAATTAGTTTGTGTCTAGAGATACCTATTCATTCTTTTCAGTCACTCACTTACCCCCCCAAAAAAAATTGCTTTTGAAAACGTCCATAGGAGCTGAAGATGAAATTGTGAACTTGGAAACAAAAACTTTCCTCTTAAGAAGATCGTTTAAAGAAAGAGCACTGTAAAAATATAAATAAATAAATAAAAAAGAAAGAGCATCGTTTCAATGGTTTAAAGGCAAATTGATTGCACAGCTGTAAACGACTTACAAGCATAGTTTGAACAAAGATTGTAAAACACTTTCACCCTCCTATATTTAATTTTAAAGACCCTCTTTCCACTCTCCCTAACATTGAAATGAAAGTTTTATAGCAAAAATAGCAATTTGAAGATTTGTATCTTGACTTCTTGATTAAATTTATGACATTGTTCAAATATGTAATATTAATACATTAGACTAGAGACGCATTTAAGCACATGATAATAGGTAATAAGTACATGTGAAAATGTGAAAGTGAATCCTTTTTTAAAAATATATAACAAATGATATATACATGCTTGTATAGAAGAACACAGTAAAATGTTCCATTCGAATTGGACATCTGTTACATTCTTTTCCTTCTTGGGATTTTCTCATTATCCTGAAGTTGAAGCCATCATATTTGTGCTGTGTCCTGATGTATCTGATAACCTTGCTGAGAAATATCATTCCGATTTCCATCACATCCTGGATTCTCACCTGCATACTCCCATGTACTTCTTCCTCAGCAACCTCTCCTTCCTGGATATCTGGTATACCTCTTCAGTGCTCACTCCAATGCTCGCAAAATGTTTTAGGGGACACCACCATTTCATTTTCAGGATATGCTTCTCAGATATCCTTCTTTCTTGCCATGGGCTCCACTGAGTGTGTGCTGCTTTCCATGATGGCCTATGACAGGTATGTGGCCATCTGCCACCCCCTAAGATAACCTCTTAGGAGGGTGACTGGGAGGGTCTGCGTGGAAATTGCAGTTGGCTCCTGGGTAACAGGCTGCCTCACTGCCCTGGTGGAAACAGCACCTGTGCTGAAGCTGCCTCTCTGTGATCATAGTATCATTAATCATTTTCCGTGTGAAATCCTGGCTGCCCTGAAGACAGCTTGCATCGATACCTCCATGGTACAGTTCACAGTGCTGGTGATCAGTGTCCTCCTTCTTCCCATACCAATGCTACTCATCCTTATTGTTTATGCTTTTATCCTCTCCAACATTCTGAGAATCAGTTCTGTGGGTGGTCGAAGCAAAGTCTTTTCAACATGGGCAGCCCACCTGCCTGTACAGGGTGGCTCTTTCCTATGGGACAGCTCTCTCCGTGTACCTGACGCCCTCTGCTGTAAATTCATGGGAAGTGGATAAATTCATGGCTTTGGTATATGCTGGATTAACTCCCATGTTCAATCTTATTATCTATAGTCTATGGAACAAAGACGTAAAAGAAGCTGTGAAAACTTGCTGATTGAAAATCATTTTAGGATCATCTTAATGTCTGTCATCAAATAATAGGAGAATAAACACACTTTTCTGGACAATCTACAACATTATCTTGAAAACTGCATAATAGTTAATATAACATAAAACTCTTGAGAAGAATCATTTGGATTAGGAGTTTGCCATCAGGTTCTCTGTCCTGATTTGCCTTATAAACAAAACTTTTTGCATAAAATTCATTTACACAGAACTAATTTGGCTTTGATGGAAATACTTAGCATTTAATAAGCATCAGCATAACATCAAAATTAAATGGTTGCCTATGTAAGCTCAGTGTCCAGATGTGGCATAATCATGGAAATACCTGGTTTAATAAGAATGTCAAACTTTAAGACTGGTAAATTTTCAAATTTTCTTTTCTTTTTTTTCTATTTTTCAATTACTTGCTTTTATCTCTAGATTTAAAATGAATAGATATTTTAAATCAGTGTGTATATAACTCAAGGCATATTCATACAATGTTATTTATAAAACTATCAACTTTAGAATTCTTCCTAGCCTCCCTAGTGTTAAAAATGTGAAAATATATGATTTTTAGATTTGACAAAACATAATTTTGCTTATTTTTATATGTGTTGGGTGAATAACTATTTGTACTTATAAAATTTGCAAAATAAGGTTTTGCATAATTTTAATGCTGTGTATGAGGTAGCATAAAGGTGAAACAATTATAGGGGTTCTAATTGTATAATTGAGTATAAGGTCAGAATGTTTTCATATTGTGTTTTTTGAAGTCTCTGTGAATTAATTGATACATGCGTCCACAGTGTTATTTTTAAAGTATGTTGAATAATTGACCCCTGAAGGAGAAGATAGATAAACCTTACCCTGTAGTAATTACATTGTAAAAGAAACTATTAATGTAAGCATATTGTAGAAAATGATTCATGAATACACTTAATATGTGAGGACAAAATTAAGTAAATTAGAATTTTGTCATTAATGCAAATTGATGTTTTGCTTTTACATCTTCAGTGAAGCTAGGGAATAATGAGGCCAATGGACACACATCACCTTCTGCTTATCATAGAAACTTGCTTGGATTTCTGTGAATGATGGCTTTATCCTATAGAAAAGGTATTACTTGATACTAGAAATATGATCTCCTTGGGCCTCAGGCTTACAAAAGATGACATGATCATAGGTAATTATCAGCTGAGCATATTGGCACACATCTGTTATACCAGTAATGAGCCTTCAGGTGCATTCATCTTTGAAATGGAAGAACAAAAACGGCTTAGGTTCCAAACATCTGGAGAAGCTTCCCATTCAACAAAAAGGGCCAGGATGTGCAGAGTCTCTAACATAAGGGACAGGATCGTCTCAGAAATCCTGAAGTAGATGCTTTATTTCCTGTGAACCTGATGACAGCAATCCATGAACTAGAGGACTCAAGAGAAATATGAAGTGTAAAGTACAAAAGATAAGAAGCTACTCTAATCTTGTCAGTGAAGTAAGCAAGGTGAACCTCTTTTAGAGAGTTTTGCTAAGGAAGGTGATCAATGCCACTGGGGACCCAGTGATGGTAAAAAAAAAAAAAAATCTTTAGAAACAAAGGTTTCTATTCCTAGGCCATAACAGTAGACAAAGCTAAACAGAGCTATAACATGCACAAAAAAATGTATATAAATACATTTCTATCTATTCTATTTATATTTATCTATAAGATGAAAAAACATATACTAATGTGTATAATTGCAATAGATTTTATCCTCATTTTTTGATATATATATATATATATATATATATATGTCTTTTCTGAAAATAAGAAACTTGGCATCAATTACCTCAAATATATTTCCTTTAGTCTGACTGTATGTGGTCCATCTCCCATTGCTACTGCTTTATCACCTACACTGGTTTATGTGTGGTGACACAACTTTGAGCTATAATTTTCAATCCAGACCTTCTCTGAGAAGCTAGGCTATTATTATCTGTTGTCAGAACTTGGCCTGGAATCTTAATTGCCACTCCCTTACCAGTTTTCTTTAGGATCATTTCCTTAATATTTATTTTGTGTCTAAATTCTGTTCCTTGGATCTCTGTCTAGACAATTCAATTTAAGAAAATGAGCTGGGCTCTTTTTGTTTTTCTAAATTTTCTAGATCAGAAAAAAAAAGTTACTTGGAACTTTTCTTATATCTACCTGTTATTTTCTATACTAAATTATGTTGAAAATACTTAAGAGCCAGTCACTTATGGCTGATGCTTATAATCCTAACTTCTCAGGAGGCTAAGATCTGAGGGTCCTGGTTTGAAGCCAGCGCTGGAAGACAAAACTGTGAGACTTTTATCTCTTTTAACCAGCCAAAGGTAGGAACTCCAGGTGTGGCTTAAGGGACAGTGTGCCAGCTATGAACAGAAAAGCCAAAGGAGAATGTGAAGCCTTGTTTTCAACTTCTATACTTGCACAAAGAAAATACAAAGAAAGAATTAAAAAATAAGAAAGATGGAAGGAAGACAGTCACACACACACACACACACACACACACACACACACACACACACACACAAAACAGCAAAAGTAAAAACTGTGACAATTTGTACAGATTCCTGGCCATTTTCAAGCGAATCTGCTTTGTCATGTGGTTGAAATTAGGTTTGGCCTAATTTCATTTAGGCCTAATGGCCTACATGTCATTCTAAGAGATGTAGTACAGTTTGAAATCTTTAGGGTTTGTGCTTGAAAGCTTATAAATCTCAAGAAATAATGAATTTACGGCAAGGTGAAATAGTTCTCTGGACAAAGAATGTAAGTGGTTTTTGGAGACTAACAGGTTTGTCTCTATTCTGCTCTCACTAGTGGTAAGATGTGGAATTGCAGCATGTCAGAGAGAACATTGTTCACTCCTGCTCTTGTGCTAGATGTTTTAAAGTCTGGGTTTTTTTTCGTTTTTTTATAAGTTTTATTGTGAAAATACTGGACAAAGGGGGGGGGGGGTTACAGTTATATGAGCAAGGTAATGAGTACACTTCTTATCAAGCATTGTTGCCTCCTCCTTTGTTTTTCCCCTACTATCCCTTCCCTCCCACTTCCACAACTACACTCCCTACCCACCCATCACCACCTCCCTATCCCCCCCACCCCTACCTAAATTGTAAAGTTCCTTGTTCAACAGTGTCTTGTACATCTCATTGTTACAGTGGTTCAACCTGTATCCCTATTTAAACATTTTTTGTTTTTTCCCTTCCCCTCCCCAAAGTATTCCGACATCAAATACAGTGAAAACAGGAGTTATACCATGGGTGAGGAACATACAAAAAACAACAACAAAAAAAATCACATGGTATCTTATAAATATGTTCAAAACAATAGCAAGAAGGAAAAAAACACTTGTGTCCTTATCTTGGGGTTCATTTCACTTAACATCATCTTATCTGGTCATATGTACATAGCTTTTGACCTTTTCTGCTTGTCCCAGACATATACTAGTTATTGAAAATAAGAGAAACCATAGGACCTATGTTTCTTTGGGCCTGGCTTAAAGTCTGTTTTACAATATGTACCATCACATAAAGAATAAATGTAAGGTGTCAACTTGTATTCAAGATTCTAAGGTACTGCATACAGGTGTCTTCTTCTGTCAGTATATTAAGAACAGCAGAGTTTGAGTTAACTCTGTCAATGGAAGTAGGAAGAAGCCTACATCTGGTTCCATCTTCAACAACCTTAAAATTACATTATGCTTTATCACACCACTGTTAGATTACAGGTTGTGGGTCATTTAATGACTTGGGAAATTGGAAATCCTTTCCATTGTGTATCAGGAAATGTTATTACTCTGGCTTTAATCTATTACCTATCCTAAACTAAGCATATATGAATCCATATTAGTGGCAAATAGCAAAGCAAAATCACCCACATTTCTTAAATTATACTCAGTATCTTGGTTAATGCAACTCTATACCTGCTCCCAGAAAGCTAAAAACATGTCGCAAGTGGATCAAGGTAATCTACAAATTACTGCCTACCAGAATATATCTAATATACTTTAAAGGAGACCATAAACTTAAGCATTCAATAGCCTAAAAGGTAAAGTGACTATTACTCATCCCCCAAAGCACAAAACATGAAAAAGAATAACAGATTCTGTATAAAAGCTAGGAAAGAAGAAGCATATTCAAAAATAAAAGATGATAAAATTAGCAGAAGAGTAATTATAAATTACTCAGAATTTAATGAAAAGTAAGAGACTAATGAGCTGAAAAGTTATTTACTATTATTTTGGGGGATGGAATATACAAATTGTGAAATGGAATGTCACTAGATGGGATGAAAAGCAGATTAAAGAGTGCTGATGGAAAATGCAAGTAAAGGCACAGCAAAAATTCATTAAAAAATAAAACAAGAGAAAATATCCCAAAAGGATAACAAATATTGTTCCCAGGACACCTAAGAAATTTATACAGATCAAAACATGTATCCTTGAAATCTCAGGAACCAAAGGGAGATGGATCACAGCATCAAAAGCTAGTATATGTTTCCCCTCCCCAATACAATCTGGATTTCTGCCATTTTGAAAATGAAGATTTGATTATTTTAGTATTTCCAATTATATATACACACACACACACACACACACACACACACACACACACACACACACACACATATATATATATATATATATACCTGAGTATCTTATTAAACTTAATTTTTAGCAGGTCTGAGTAGAGCCTGTAACTCTTCATTTCTATTGAAGTGCCAGGGAAAGATGGGCAGTAGGTGGAGTGTCATGTTTTGAGTAGTTAGTTGTTAATTTACCAGTTGTGTAAATTGGCAGATAATTCAGATTTTTTTTCTGATGCAATAGGTTTTCTTTATGTTATGTGGACTTGTTTAACAATGTGGAAAATCACTAAAGACATTTTCTAGCAGGCTTCAGGGCCACATCATGCTGTTCAAGGTACTTCAGAAAATAAGTACTATTAAAATACAAATATCATAAACTCTCCCCCACTATCACATGTGTGCAATATTACTAATAACTTCATCACAAGCCTATTGGCAT